CCCCAAAACCCCAAAACCCCAAAACCCCTGTTAGATTTGATTTAATTGAGAAATCATAGTGAAAGTTAGATTTTGACTTATTTCATGAGCTTTCCTAAGTTGTTTTTGCCATTACTTTTAGAATATTGTGCATCATCCATTCTTAGCCTTAGGGACACTCTTTGGGGTTGGCTTTTTTCTAGCAATTCTCCCTGCTTTTAAATTTTTATCATGGGAATGACCTTGTAATTGAGAAATATTACTCTCCTCAAGTTTGATATCTCTTGTATGAATTCCTGTTGGTGTAGGAGCTTTACCTCTTTTCTGGCCTGGCTCAAAGATAGGATCCAAATTATATTGTTGAAGCGAGCTTCTGTTGTTTGCATTATCAGAGGCACTTTCTTCATCTATTGCACTATTCTCCTCTCCATCTAGAGTAAACATTGTCTGATCTTCCCCATATTCCTTAGATGCTTGATAAGGAGGCCAGTAATATTCGACATCTTCTGCCTCCCCTCCAAACTTAGACTCAAGCTGAGAAGGATGAAAGAAATTAATGAGCTCTTCGTCCCTTCCACCCTTAACAAGCTTGATCTTGCTCTTAGCCCTTTCATCTAAGAAAGGAGAAATAAATTTATACAATATACGAAGCCCATAAGTAGTATTTAATATGAAAGTTCTAGTTGACCTACATTTATATACCAGCTTGCTCCCATTAATAAAAGAGAGAATCCTTTTCTTTGGAATATCGTTCATACTCATATTCTCAAGATCAATTATAGGCACCCAGTTTTCAATAATCCCAGAGATTAGCATTCTCTCTTTAATATAGTGCATTACGAAATGTCATGCATTTAATGCTTCATCTACTTCCGGTTTAAATGTTTTGTATACCTTAGGGTTGTGAACAACTAAAGGTCTAAAGAACTTATCTCGTCCATGAGTGTACAAATATCCATTATCTAACAGTTCTTTCTGAATATCAGTTAAAATGATAGGTAAATGCTCAACTCTCCATTCTATATTTTGTTGTAAGTCTTTAACTGCAGTTTTAGGTTTATACCCATTGGCTTGCAAAAATCTGATTATATCTCTATTTCTGAACATAATCAGGGAAGACTATCTCGTTTTCGTTAATGTAGTCCATAAAATCTTTATAAGCATTCTCTTCTGTCTCATAATACTCCTCATTATCATTAAAAATAAGCCTTTGCCAATGCTTTGTACCTCTCTGAAGGACTCTAGTATCTTCATCTGGCCTGAACCTGTGTAATTTGGACCAAGGCTTAATTCCTTTAGGGAGATAGTAATAGGCGTAGTCTTCTTCATCTATTTGATCTGTCATTTCGTCAGTTATGATAGTGTCTTCTATTTTTATAACTAAGTTGTCTACCATCTTAAAATTAATTTTATATAGACTGTTTCTTTCAGCTAGAAATACGAAGGAAGGGGTTTTGGGGTTTTGGGGTTTTGGGGTTTTGGGGTTTTGGGG